GATGTAGTGATCCATAATTCATTGTTTTCATATAACACCCAGTGCTCTATGCAGTATGTGCCCTCCTTAATACCCATCACTGGGCTAACGCATCCCCCTCCCCTCTAAAACTTCAGTTTGTTTCTCGGAGTCCATGTGTTAATGAAACATACTGGTCTGTAGTTTTTTTTGTCGTGTCTTTGGTTTTGGTGTTAGGGTAATGATGGCCTCATAGAATGAGTTAGGAAACATTCCCTCTGCTCTTGTAGAGAATTAGTATTATCTCTTTCTTAACTGTTTGGTAGAATTGACACGTGAACCCATCTGGGTCTGGTGCTTTCTCTTTTGAAAGATTTAGCTCTATTCAGATTGTCTGAGTTGGGCAAATTGTGTCTTTCAAGGAATTGGTCCATTTCATCTAGGTTACTAGATGTGGGCATAGTTATTCATGGTGTCTTATTCTTTTCGTGTCCATAGTATCTATATTGAGGTCTTTTTTAATTTTATTAGGTTAGTCACCATACAATATGTCATTAGTTTTTGATGTGGTGATCCACGATTCATGGTTTTCATATAACACCCAGTGCTCCATGCAGTACATGCCCTCCTTAATCATGGGGCTAATCCATCCGCCCCAACACCCTCCCCTCTAAAACCCTCAGTTTGTGTCTTTTTCTTTTTTAAGATATAATTGACCTAAGCACTGTAAAATTTTAAGGTGTATATCATAATGACTTGATTTACATATATTACAAAATGATTTACCATAGTAAATTTAGTTAAAATCCATTACCTCACATAACCATTTTTTAAAAACTTTGATGAGAACTTTTAGGATTTACGTTCTTAGCAGTTTTCAAATATACTATATAGCAGTGTTAACTATATTCATCATTACATTACATCCTCAGTACTTATTTATCTTATAACTGGAAGTAGGGACCTTTTGATCCCTTTCATCCATTTCCCCCATACTTGGTAACCACAAATTTTATCTTTTTTGAGTTTTTTTTCCCCTACCTATGAGAGATTATACAGTATTTGTCTTTGTCGGACTTATTTCACTTAGCATAATGCCCTTGAGGTCCATCTATGTTGTCATAATGGCAAGATTTCATTCTTCCTTATGGCTGCATAATATCCCCCCCCATTTACACACAATTTCTTTACGCATTCATCCATCGATGGACACTTGTTTCCTGTGTGCTAGCTATTGTAAATGCTGCTGCAGTGAACATGGTGCAGATCTCTCTCCCACAGACTGATTTTGTTTCCCTCAGATATATACCCAGAAGTGGAATGCTGGGGCATGTGGTAGTTCTGTCTTAAATGCTTTGAGGAGGGACGCCTAGGTGGCTCAGTCAGTTAAGCGTCTGCCTTTGGCTCAGGTCATGATCCCAGGGTCCATCGGGCTCCCTGCTCAGCAGGGAGTCTGCTTCTCCCTCTGCCGGCCGCTCCCCCTGCTTGTGCGTGTGCCTGCATGCTCTCTGTCTGATAAATAAAATCTTAAAATCCTTTGAGGAACCACCACTGTTTTCCATACTGGCTGCCCCAGTTTCCAATCCCGCCAACAGTGCACAAGCTTCCCTTTCTTCCACATCCTCTCCAACATTTATAACCTCTTGTCTGATGCTAGCCATTCTAACAGGCATGAGGTGGCATCTCCTTGTGGTTTTGATTCGCATTTACCTGATGATTAGTGATGTTGAACGTCTTTCGTGTGCAGGTTTCCCCTGCTCTCCGAAAGTAGAGGGTTCCTATGGAAAAATAACAGCAACAATGACAAAAAAGATACAACTCTTTCTAGATTAACTAGAAATATGCCAGATTTATATGAAGGCAATTATAAAACTTTCCTGAAGGCTATGAAGTATTGTGGTCCTGAATGGGAAGAGTCAATCAATAGCTTAAAGAAGTCAGTCCTGGGCGCCTGGGTGGCTCAGTCGTTAAGCGTCTGCCTTCGGCTCAGGTCATGATCCCAGAGTCCTGGGATCGAGCCCCGCATCGGGCTCCCTGCTCGGCAGGAAGCCTGCTTCTCCCTCTCCCACTCCCCCTGCTTGTGTTCCTGCTCTCACTCTCTCTCTGTCAAATAAATAAAATCTTTAAAAGAAAAAAAAAAAGTCCTTCCCAGATTAATATGTACAGCCAATGCAATATCAATAAAAATATGCATGAATAAAAAAAATATTTGGTAAACAAAATGGCATAAAGAAACAATTACCAATAATTTCTATGGAAAATTTTTGGCTGTTCCCAGACCCCAAAAATAACCTCAGGCTTTTTTGGTACCTAAGACACATCTTGCTAGTGGATGCACAGAATAAGTTGAGATAAAGCACAGATGCCCCCAGACACAGTTCAGAGCCGTAGTGGCTGAATGGAGTCCCTGAGAGCCTCACCGTCTGCCGCCCCGGGTACACGCGGTGTCTACAAGGGCTCACTGCAAAACACACACTAAATTCAATGTTCACTTTTCACCTATTTTCATAAAAGTGAAAGATCCTCTTTGGATTTCTTTTGGTTAGCAAATGCCAGTACAAATGGAGGTTTTTGTCAGAATGAAGTGGAGTAACACAAACTTTCAGAAAGCAGGTACCTGTAACTGTTGGCTATTTGAATACAGGCGTACCTGCTCTACAGAACTTCACAGATACCGGGTTTTTTGCACTTCTGATATTTGTGGGTTTTTTTGTTTTTGTTTTTTTTTATGTTAGTCACCATGCAGTACATCATTAGTTTTTGATGTAGTGTTCCATCATTCATTGTTTGCTTATATACACCCAGTGCTCCATGCAATACATGCCCTCCTTAATACCCATCACCGGGCTAACAAATCCCTCCACCCCACCCCCAAAACCCTCAGTTTGTTTCCCGGTGTCCATAGTCTCTCATGGTTCATCTCCCCCTCTGATTTCCCCCCTTCTCCTAATGTCCTGCATATTCCTTATTTTCCACAAATAGGTGAAACCAGGGATAATTGACTTTCTCTGTTTGACTTATTTCACTTAGCATAATCTCCTCCAGTCCCATCCATGTTGATATAAACTTTGGGTATTCATCCTTTCTGATGGCTGAGTAATATTCCATTGTATATATGGACCACATCTTCTTTATCCATTCATCTGTTGAAGGGCATCTTGCTTCTACAGTTTGGCTATTGTGGACATTTCTGCTAGAACATTGGGGTGCATATGCCCCTTCTTTTCACTACATCTGTGTCTTTGGGGTAAATACCCAGTAGGGCAATTGCTGGGTCATAGGGTAGCTCTATTTTTATACATTGAAGGTTTATAGCAGCCCTGCATCAAGTCTTTCAGCACGGTTTTTCCAACAGCATTTGCTCGCTTCATTTCTCTGTGTCACCTTTTGGTAATTCTCACAATATTTCAAACTTTTTCATTATTATTATATTTGTTGTGATTATGCCCGGTTCCTGATCTATAGAGGAAAGTGTTTCATCTGATTTTTGAATGTTAAACCAACCTTGCATTCTCGAAACAATCACTCCTTCATGATTTAGTGCCCTTTTTATACATCATTGGATTTAGCTGGCAAAGCTTTGTATGGATCTGTAGTTGTCTTTTCTTGTCTGATTTTGGTGTCAGGGTAACGCTGGCCTGATAAAATACATTGGGAAGTAGTCACTCTTATTCACTCTTCTGGAGTCGTCTGTATGTCATGATTACAGCTTTGTAATTCAGCTTGAAGTCTGAATTGTGATGCCTCCAGCTTTGGGTTTTGTTTTTTTTTTTCAGTATTCCTTTGGCTATTTGGGGTCTTTTCTGGTAGGTTTGGTTTTTTGGAGATATTTTCCTTTGTAGGAGTTAGGCTTCCTTGTTTGCAACCAGGAACTGGGCAGCCTCCTCCCACCCTTGTCGCACACTCGCCAGGAGGGGTGGGGCAGGCAAAAACTCTGGGAAATTCTGTAGAGCTTTGAGTACATCTTTTACTTGGTTAAACATTGTATTAGTTGCTGCAGCTTAACTGGTTTTCAGAGTTCTCACAAAGTCATTGCTGTCTGTGTGGTGTTGGTTATCTGTTGCTCCTATGTGGTACTGAGGGCTGGACCATCCCATTCTGTCTTCCTGCTTACGTCGCTCTCTCGTGTAGCTCTTTGAGTGTATTTCAGACAATTCTAAAGACCTTGTCTGATATTGCTGATACCCGTCACAGACTATTCGTTGCTGCCACTTTATTCCTCCAAATAGGCCATATTTTTCCTGGTTTTTTTTGGTGGGGTTTTTTGTATGCTTTTGAGACCAGCTCTTTTTTCCAGGGAAGACCTTCACTAATGTGCAGGGTGTGTTGTGAACCCCGGGGTCTCCCCGTGGTGAGGGCTTAAGGTCTTCTCAGGAATGTTCTGAGCCTGTGTCTTGCCTGTGCCTGAGTGGTTTTTTTCAATTCTATCATATACAAAGATGCTTAGAAGGGTCTGAACCTCCCAAAGATGGTCACCCTAGCTCTATGGGGACATAGGTGTTCTCTTGCATTCCTTCACACATAATCATTCTCCCCAGCCTTCTGCAGGTCTGTAATCCCCCTGCAGCTCCCACGAGGTTCTGTCTCCAAGTCAGGCAGAACAGACACTGGTCCCTCCAGCAGCCCCCAAACAGGTTAGACCAGTGCAAATAAAGTCTGCTCTGCTCTGCCCAGTTTGAAGTAGGGAATTGCAAGGTGGGCTCCTGCATCCTTCAGACTGCACCTTACCATAAGTAAAACTGCCACTACCTTTAAAAGTAGCTGCATATGGAGAATGGGGAAAAACCCACACAGCCCCAAGGTAAGACATACTCCGTAAAGACCTGAGAAGACCTTAAACCCTCACTCTGGGCTGATCCCAAATTTCCTCCCATTTTAAGTGTGTTTTTTCTACTGGAAGGTCCCTTGTTTGCTATAGATCTTTTTCAGCTAGCCTTTTTTTTTTTAATGTTTTCTTTGGGGAACAAGGGCTTGGAGCTTCTCCATTTACCACCTTGCTGATGTCTCTTTCTGTCCCTAATTCTTTATCCTTATTCTTTCAGGAGGCAGGAATCAAAATGAGGTGGAGACTCTTCATGAAGCAGGAATAAGGTGCCTTTCATTGGGAGAGCTTTCATGTTGGCAAATCAAGAGACATGTTGTGAGCAAATTAAACAAAAATCACGACTCTGTGATAAATATTCAAGGAAAGAGTTCTCAGTTCTCCGACCAGTGTGAGTCCCCCTGTCAAGTGGGAGCAGGAATATGTATTCAGGCTTCTGTGGAGGACAGCTGTATCATGAATCTTCTAGAGGATCATTCCAAGATTATTGAAAAGCAAGAATTTCTGGCTGGGAGAGCTCATAATTCTTGGAGTAAAATATATCTCAGTGAAACACAGAATTATCAGAGAAGTTGTAAGACTCAGATGAAAAGCCAGTTATGTATATTTGCTCCATACGTTAACATTTTCAGTTGTATTTCACACCACCATGATGACGGTACAGTGCACAAAAGAGACAAAGCTCACAATAGTGACTGTGGTAAGGTGTCCCCTCTTATCCAGCAGACCTACCACTGTAGTGAATGTGAGAAAGCATTCAGTGATGGCCCCAGTCTTGAACTTCATCAACAGGTACACTCGGGAAAGAAGTCCCCCGCTTACAGTGCACATGAGAAGGACACCAGTTATAGCCCAGCTGTTCCCATTCAGCAAAGTGTTTACACAGGAAAGAAACGCTATTGGTGTCATGAGTGTGGGAAGGGTTTCAGCCAGAGCTCAAACCTGCAAACTCACCAGAGAGTCCACACAGGGGAGAAGCCCTATTCATGCCTTGAGTGTGGTAAGAGCTTTAACCAGACCTCACATCTTTATGCCCATTTGCCTATCCACACAGGAGAGAAACCCTACCGATGTGAAAGTTGTGGGAAGGGCTTCAGTCGTAGCACTGATCTGAATATTCATTGCAGAGTTCACACTGGAGAGAAACCTTACAAATGTGAGGTGTGCGGGAAGGGCTTCACTCAGAGATCACATCTTCAGGCCCACGAGAGAATCCACACTGGAGAGAAACCATACAAATGTGGAGATTGTGGTAAACGCTTTAGTTGTAGCTCAAATCTTCATACCCATCAGAGAGTCCACACTGAAGAGAAACCATACAAGTGTGATGAGTGTGGGAAGTGCTTCAGTTTGAGCTTTAACCTTCACAGCCACCAACGAGTCCACACTGGGGAGAAACCGTATAAGTGTGAAGAGTGTGGGAAGGGTTTTAGTTCAGCCTCAAGTTTCCAGAGCCATCAGCGAGTTCACACAGGAGAGAAACCATTTCGCTGCAATGTGTGTGGTAAAGGCTTCAGTCAGAGTTCGTATTTTCAAGCCCACCAGAGGGTCCACACTGGAGAAAAACCATACAAATGTGAGGTGTGTGGGAAGCGCTTCAATTGGAGCTTGAATCTTCACAATCATCAGAGGGTCCACACAGGAGAGAAACCTTATAAATGTGAAGAGTGTGGGAAGGGCTTCAGTCAGGCCTCAAATCTTCAAGCTCATCAGAGTGTCCACACCGGGGAGAAGCCATTCAAGTGTGAAGCGTGTCAGAAGCGATTCAGCCAGGCCTCACATCTTCAAGCCCATCAGAGAGTCCACACCGGAGAGAAACCATATAAATGTGATACATGTGGTAAGGCCTTCAGCCAGAGGTCAAATCTTCAAGTTCATCAGATAATTCACACTGGAGAGAAACCATTTAAATGTGAGGAATGTGGGAAAGAATTTAGTTGGAGTGCTGGGCTCAGTGCTCATCAGAGAGTTCACACAGGAGAGAAACCCTATACATGTCAGCAGTGTGGTAAAGGCTTCAGTCAGGCCTCGCATTTTCACACACATCAGAGGGTCCACACTGGGGAAAGGCCATACATATGTGATGTCTGTTGTAAAGGCTTCAGCCAGAGATCACATCTTGTATACCATCAGAGAGTTCACACTGGAGGAAATCTGTAGACATGTGAGGTGTGGTGTAGCCTTCAGTTAAAGTTCACATCCTCCTCTCTACTGGAAAATCGATGCTGAGAATTGTGGAAAGTTCCTTCAGAACTCAGAAGCCTCAAGGAATCTTCACATGCAAGTAAGCTCTGTAAAGTGCTGTTTTAAGGACTCAGTTGGGAGATAAATTCTTTACAAACATCAGATTTCACAGAGAGAAAACCTATAAATACAGTCAATGTTTGAGTTCTGAATGTCCCAACCTTCAGGATGCAACGCAAAAGAATTTCAAAATTCATCTGAGTCTACCCAGGAAAGAGGCCTTATAAATGAAGATTAGGGGCAGAACTTTAATGAAAGTATCATAAGGGACAAGTAAAATTAACGGCAACGGCAATGTAACCTCCATGTAGGGAAGGATGTTTTTCACTGCTTTATCTCTACCGTGTAGAAGTGTGCTTGGCTCCTAATAGATGCCCAGCAATTACTGAACAAGGAGAAAATCTATCATTAGGACAAGTATTTGAAAATTGTACTCCCCTACCCAGATTTCATAACAACATACTCAAAAGGAATCCTGCAAGTAGCCTTAATGAGATTTCAGGACAAGTACAGAAAATCATGTCATGCTGCCATCTGCAGTAATGCAAATTTGGGATGCAATTTGTGAATGGCCCCCATCCTCCATCCGGCCCTGGTTCTTTATAGTATGTCAGCCCTTGTGTACAGTGTAATATTTAGTATCATTAGTTTGTATTTTATAGACTGAAAATACTGTTTTTAACTAATAACATACTATAATTTATATGCCTGGAAATTTTGGACCCTAATTCATTAAGGTAGGATTTCACTGTTACTCTTTGAAAGTGTTAAAAGTAGTTACTAATGACAAGAAGTTTTTTAGTAAACTTGAATTGTTAGTAATTGGTTTCTTCTCATTATTTCTCTTCACGCATAGGTCAGATTGCCTTTCCTGTGCACAGTCCTTCATCCAGACCTGTGTAGGCAGGGGCTTTGGCAGATTTCAAGGACATTAATTTTGTCACACCCCACCTCCATCTCTTCCCCCCCACCCCCAACAAAGGAGGGCAGAGCAAGAAACCAGTTGGGTTCTTATTGGGGGATGTAACAATTTAGGTGGATTACCATTGACAGGGCATTCTGTGTTCAATACCTCTTGTCAGGAGTGGACATAAACTGGTCAATATATATCAAAATACCCTTTGATCTGGCAATCCTAGCACTAGATGCTTTGTTTAAGAGATTATAGCAAAAGTGAGCATGTATATAAGGATGTTTATACTGATTTTTTTAAAGGAAATAAGTATTAGCAAAATAATGGAATAAATATATTCTAATACACAGCCACCAAAAAAAAAAAAAAAGGACCTGGTTTGTAAGGACAGAGAACCATCATTCATGAGAAAGCTACATTAGAGGCTTCCCAGTATGTGTGGCCCAAGTAATAATATGTATACCTACAGATGCACTTACATACAAGGAGGTAATATGTAGAGGGATGTTCACAGACATGCTACCTGGTTTACTCTGGCAGAGAGGCTTAGGGAGGTTTTAGCTTTTTGAAAAATTATCTACAGTGACTATTATTACTGTTTACCAAAACAGTAAAACTATGAGACAGTAAAATTAAATAAATATTCCTTAATGCTAAATCTAATGTAAATCTAAAGCTTGGGGTGCAAGCGTCTGCCTTCAGCTTAGGTCATGATCCCAGGGTCCTGGGATCAAGCCCCACATCGGGCTCCCTGCTCTGCAGGAAGCCTGCTTCTCCCTCTCCCACTCCCCCGCTTATGTTCCTTTTCTCGCTGTCAAATGAATAAATAAAATCTTTAAAAAATAAAAATTAAATCTAAAGCTTAGAGCTAAATCTAATAATCTTATCTCACCATAGGGCATGAAACCTATTTACAGATCCACATGAAAGGATGTTCATTGTTTCATTATTGGTAATGGCACAATTTGCATTCATCAGTTAGACTGACAAAACAATTTAGGACCTATCCATTCAGTGGAATATTATGCAGAATACAATGAAAAAGTAAATTTATGGTTACTAACATTGGTAAATACCCAGAATATGCATAGAAAAGTGGCCAGAGACATAAGGTTTTGTAGGAGATAGATATACATGTAAATCTCTAATGCCCCCTTTAAAGGTAACCAAATCATATTCATACCTATAAGTTTGTGATCTATATGTAGAATATTCTCATATATGTATAAATATGATCTGATTATTAGTCACCATACAGTATTTCATTAGTTTTTGATGTAGTGTTCCATGATTCACTGTTTGCATATAACACCCAGTGCTCACTGCAATATGTGCCCTCCTTAATGCCCATCACCAGGCTAACCCATCCCATCCCCCTTCCCTCTGAAACCCTCAGTTTCCCCGGAGTACATAGTCTTTCATGGTTCATCTCCCACTCTGATTCCCACCCCCCTTCATTTTTCCCTTCCTTCTCCTAATGTCCTCCATGCTAGTCCTTATGTCCCAATGTTCATAGCAGCAATGTCCACAATAGCCAAACTGTGGAAGAAGCCAAGATGCCCTTCAAGAGACGAATGGATAAAGAAGATGTGGTCTATAGATACAATGGAATATTACTCAGCTATCAGAAAGGCTGAATATCCACCATTTGCATCAACATGGATGGAACTGGAGGGGTTTATGCTAAGTGAAGTAAGTCAAGCTGAGAAAGACAATTGTCATACGGTTTCACTTATAGGTGATCTGATTACTTTAAAAGGGGTTATTATAATACATTTTTAAACTTGTAATGTTTTGAGAGTGTTTTAAAGCCTGTATTTTCAATGTATTCTCAACTTTCAGGAATGATGCAAGAACAACAAAATTCCTAAATAGCCTTAGTGTATCTACTGTGATTAGAGTCCAGCCAGATCATTCAGTTGTCTAGCACCTGAGCTGAGAGAACCCAAACAGCTTTTGTCCCTCAAGCATGTCTTTCTAGCTTTATGTGGACCCTTTGGCATGGCCACTTCATACTGACTGGATGCTATGTGGAGGCTCAGAGTATCCTAAGAGAAACCAGCAGGAGTACTATGGCCTTGTCTAATCTACCGTTGGAGGTTACAGTGTTAGAATCTGAGGAGGCCGTCACAAAAACCTATCTAGGATCAAGGAGAGGGAGCATGGACTCCACCTCTTGATAAGAGAAGTGTCAAGGAATTTGCAAACATATTTTAAGACTACCGGACTTTGCTTACAATATTTTCTAATCTACAACTTATTCAAATTCCACAGTTGTCCCATATGTTTATATCAATTTTTTTTTTCCTATTCCAGGATCAAATCTTAAGATGGGTCATACCACCCTGCATAAAGTTGTCGTGTTTCTTTAGTCTTTGAATCTGGATCAGTTCCACGGCCTTTCTCTGTCTTTCATGAAATTGGTATCTTCAAAGAGTATGGGGTATTTTGTAGATTATCCCTAAATAGGAGTTTGATTCCTTGTGATTAAATCCAAATTAGTGTGGCAAGAATATTCCACGAGTGACACATAGTCTCAGCACATTACAACAGGAAACATGTTTTATCAGTGATAGTTTTGATCCCTTGAATATACTGATGACTTCAAGGTTCTCCACTATAAAGCTGCTGTTTTGCCCTTGAAATTAGTAACTAATTTGTGGGAGATCTTTATGTAGTAACTACCTCATTATCTTTCACCTGCTAGTTTTAGTGTTGATATTTTTGTCTGAAACAGTTATTACTATGATTGCAAAGTGATGGCTTTCTTGGTCCATCCTTCCTCTTATATTTAGCATTTGGCATGCTATCTATAGAGGAGCTTTCCCTTCTTCCCTAGGTCTCTTTTCTCTATCATCAATATGAATGCTTGTTTTCTGATATAATAAAATCTTGGGTTTATCTTGTATACGGTCTGCTGCAGCCACAGATTCTACAGAGACCTGATTCCTTTGAGCAGTTTGGTATTTAGAAACTAAGATCTGGGTGCTGTGTGTTATCATTATTGAGATACCAGTCTTTCATGTTTATGTATGTATGTGTAAAATGTGGATACCTTCAACTTCAAGTAAGTATTTCTAGTTTTTCCGTATTCCATGTTAACTTCCAACAGTCAAATTGGCTCCAACTATCATCAATCTGTTTACTGATTTGTTCAGTCCTCTAATACATAGCAAGTAGTTTGGAGTTGCTACACAAGAGCATTGTAAAAAACAAACCTGATTGTGTTCAGGATTTGTTTATGGGTTCTTTTTCTCTTTAGACCAAGTATACATAGACAAAGTACTTTTAAACAAAGTTAGTTTGCCTATTTCTTTTATCTCCATTCAACCAGTTATATTATTCATGTGAAATAAAGTTAGATTATTTTCTTAAATGTTGATATTCCCTTTCAGGTTCTCCTCTCCCCATCTTGTAATTTATAAAAATTGGGAAGGGAATTAAATTCAGATGAAACTCTAGTTCCCAAAGTACCCTAATATATTTTTTATTTGTGCTGATTTTATTTAGCTATATGGTTTAGACATGTTTATTAAAGTTTTTGATTTACCGCCTTAGAAATATACAATAAGTACTTTTTTTCATGAAATTAATCTTTAATGACTGTATTATATTCCTTTGGGGGACAGGTCATAGGAATGGGGAGGTTATAATGCATGGTGGAAATTGGGTAGATTCACAAAAGTTGGATGGCTTGTAAATGGATGGCTTGTAAATGGTTATATTTTTCTTTATATTTGAAATGTGCCAGGGTTAAAATTTATATATATTTTTATATATAAATGAAAAGAGAGCTAGCGAGTATAGACGTTTAGGGTCAAAGAAAGTTTACCAACTCCGCAGTTGATACAGTTGCCCTGAGGCTTGGACAGTTTAATGGGAAAAAAATTCTACCTGTAAATGAGGCATTGTTAATAACTATTATGAAAGTTCAATGAAGAAAGTTGTCCTCCCACCAAGGACTCTAACTCTTCCAAATGGTCTCCTGTTTTCTCTCATGCTCCTTACCCTAGTTACCAGGTTTGGACATAGGATGTATGTATCTTTGTTCATTTTCCCTTCCAAATGATTGTCTCCCTCTCCACCCATTAATTTGCACAAACTACCCACTATTCCTTCGTTCAGCCACCTACCAGTCTCTGTTCATTCTTCCTTGTTCCTTGGTTTTTATCTCCAGAACCAGTCTTGCTACCCTGTCACTACTCTTGTCAGACTACTTGCAGATTATTATATCCACTTCCAAAACCCTGGCCTCTCAGTTCCTTGACTACTCTGCCACCAACGGTCTTGTCTTCCACAGCACCTCAGCCCCTGGCTCCAAAGGTAAAATCTTGCCAGCAAGAAAGTAAACGGAGGGAATGTGATGTAATGAGCATTGGGTGTAATATGCAACTGATGAATAACTGAACTCTACATCCGAAACTAATGATATACTATATGTTAATAGAAATAAAATAAGATAATGTAAATGGAAACCCCTCTGTAATCGCAGATTCAAACACTCCATTCTATCTAATCAACTCTTGTTTTACCAGCTTATACCCTCTTTGTTCTCATTTTAATAACTCTTAGAACTCACAAGGGCCTAAAATCCATTACTTCTACCCCCCTTTCACTCTCTCTTACCTTAATTCCCCCTATATCTGGAAAGGAGAGCAGACTTCCATTTACATCCCAGTGCCCAAAACTGTGTCTCATGTCAACCTCTAACACAGGAAGAAATACTTCAAGAGTGTTTGTTTCCCAGTCTATAGAAGAGGCAGAGAAGAGCAAATTGGGTTAGGAATATATGCTAGATGAAGCAATCTACAATATGTGGTTCAGATAGGCTGTGACTTATGTGTATTTTTGCCCACTAGTTCCAACCCTAATTTTTATCTTTCACTTAAGAATATTGCAATTCTCAGAAAAAAGGCTATTACAGTAATAATGCCAACACTCAGGATTAAAAAAAAAAGTTTCAGACTTTTGAGATTGATCAATTGTTAGAATAAGTTATCTGTGCAACATTTCATGAGTTGTCATGATGTAGCTGGAAAATGGCTTTAGAGGTGCACTGCTTAATAGTGTAAATATATGTAAACAAGTAACCATAAGTAACCATATATGAATTTTATGATGATAGAAGCATTTTAAATGTGCTGGCCAAGTAGTTCTATTTTGCATTAAAACCCCAGCAGATAACAAGTATAAATTCTAGACCAAATATTAAAACTATCCAAAGGCACTGGAGAATGAACAAAAGCAGGCAGATTCTGGAGATGGGTCAACAGTTGGAAGAAGGAAATAATAGAAGGTCAGTTTCCTACTTTTTATGGCTTTAACCCTGAAAGCAAGTCCAGTCTGCACTATTTTAGGGCAGCTAAAACATACACGGAAAACCCTAAGTTTTCCAACAAAAGGATTCAAGGCCTATACGTAACTGCTATTGGAAAATGAGGTATGTAGGATATCCTGGAAGAGGGCCAGGGAAGGGAAGCTCCAAATTCTGTGTATAAGCATTTTGCAAATATGTGGCTGACTCCTCAACTATAAAGGACAGAGGATACTTAAAGGAGCCAAGCCAATACTAACAGAAGTGAATTAAAATTTGAGCTGCCACCCACAGGAAAGTTGAGCCCAACTAAATTAAGTGCCTAATAAAAATATTTTTAAAAATACTCTGGAGGAACATAATGAAATCCAGTTTCCTCAGTATATTAATCACAATGCCCAGGATATAATTTAGATATTTGAGAAAATGAAAACTGGAAAACATGATCTATTCTCAAGAGAAAACAGATCAATGGAGATCAATGCCAAGATGATC